TATCCAGTCTTCTTAAAGATAAGGTTTTTAGCTCGGCTGGTGTAACTCAGTGGACTGAGTGCCGTCCCACGCACTGAGGTCCCAGTTTGATTCCCGGTCAGGGCACATGCCCCATTTGCGGTTTCGGGCTTGATCCCCATGAGGAGTGTGCAGGAGGCAGCCAATTGATGTTTCTCTCTCACATCAACGTTTCTTTCTCTCTAAAAAAAATCAGTAAAGACATATTAAAAATAAAAAAGAAAAGGCTTTTAGCAACATCTAATCTATAAAACAGGATCCATAAACAGCGAGTGAAAACATCAGAAATGTTAGAAGGGAATCTAGTGAACAGGTTTTCTAGGTCATGACAGATGAAAAGCAGGTGAGGAGACCATTCTAGCTTTTAATAAATAGTGGCGATGAGTGACCTAAGAAATTATAAAAAGCAATCCAGAATAACTTATCAAGGCAAGAAAGTCAAGGAATTGTAGACCAGCTCTCTGGTCTGTGTGGCTTCAGGTCCTGGCCCACCACTGGCTTAATAGCAGCCTTAGGCACATACCTCAGTTACTCTAGCTTCAACTTCCTTCTCCCTAAAATGTATTATTGTGCAGATCAAGAAAATAATGAGACAGCAATCCTTAGGTGCAACATCAGTGATGACTGGGTGTGCGTATCTAAGAACAGTCATAAAGCAAGAGGTAGCATATGCTCCGCTCGAAGAAAGCAGGCAGGCACAGCAAACATTTTAGGAAGAATTTTGTTTGGAAACATTAAAATGTTAACAATTATTAGGGAGGTACATGATTAACCCTTTTTAAAAAATCCTCACCTGAGATGTTTATTGTTTTTAGAGAGAGGGAGAGAAACATTGGTGTGAGAAACATCGATAGATTACTTCCTGTATGTGCCCTGACCGAGAATCAAACCTGCAACCTTTGGTGCATGGGATGACACTCCTACCAACTCAGCCACCTTGGCCAGGGCTTACCTCATATTTTTCTTTAAACTTTTTTCCATTTCCCACAATGATCACATTTTACTTTCCTCACCCCCTTTCCTTCCTTGTCTTCTTAGATGCCTGGCACACAAGGACAGCTCAATACACATGAATGGAATACATTTGGGAAATGACCCAGACTGTAAAGTCCCTTTTAAACTGTGTTTTTGGCTGTGATTAGAACTGTATCCTCCATCTGGGGAAACCTTAGAGGAGGAGAAGAAATCCTCTGGATGTCCACTCATCTAAGGCCTCAGACCGAAGAATCGCGTGGCTTGTAACCCAGATGGCTGAACAGGCTGGGAACAGGCAGACAAGGGTTCGCCAGTTCTGTTCTCTTACCCCATCCATCTCACCAGTATCTCTCTCTGGCGAAGTGAAGCAACTTATTCAAAATATTTTATTTCTATAAATGAAATAAAAACAATTAAAATTTATTAGGTGCTGAAACTTGGTTTTGAACTTTTATTAAAAAAATATATTTGCAAACATATAAAATTTAGGATGAAAAATGCTCATTTGAAAACATGTAATAACTTAATATTTGCAAACATACACAGATGGTATAAAATTCATACCATTAAAAACGTGAATGATGCAGTATTGCGCTCACGGAACAGAAGTTTTGCTGCAATCCCAGAGCCTCTCCTCCCCACCCGTCAGGGAGCTGAGACTCTGGGACACTGAGTCATGAGAGCCACGTGGCCGAAGCAGTAATACAGAATAAAACACCACTTAGAACATATTTTAAAAACACATTTAAGGAATCACACAGGTCAAAGGAAACACAGTTTTGCATTTCCCCAACTCTTAGTGAACGATATTGCATCTCAGCATTTAATGAAGATGTCAAATCAAATACAAAACCAAGTGAAACATTGCACACATCTCTCTGGCTGAAAAGCAGGCTCCTTGAGGCCCCAGCACACTCAGGGACGCGTTCTCAAGCACAGGTTTTAAAGAGCCCAGTGTTAGTTGCTTTAGTTGGCGCAGAGTGTAACATTTTAGACACCTGAAAACACAGGGCACAGGTACTTTGAATGCAAGGGAAGAAAACCAAACATAGATAAGAAACACATGCTCAGCAGCAAATGTGCAGTAAGAACGCAGGACACGTGTCCCTGTGATTCCTTTTCTTCGCTCACACCGCCTGGCCCACTCGTGCCTGTGCTACCTACCTCTCATTCCTGTGTTTCTGCATTTGCCCAGAGTTACCGTATGATGGCTGATTTTGTTTTGTTAAGCAGTTAGGCACCTTCAATTTCATGTTGCATTATTAGTATACAAATGGCAGTTATGGCCTCTACTACCAAAATGAGAAAATTTCAAACTACATTCTTTGGGGAGGAGAGTAATAAAGCTGCATTGTTAAAAAATATTTACCTAGTAGAGGATTTGATCAAGTTTATAATTTGTACAAGAAAACACAGGCAGAAAAAGAACAAATACTTGACATGCAAAACTGGGTCAGACATATCCTAGACTAAGCCTGTGTCTCCTCCGGCAGAGCAGGACCCAGGTCAATTTAGGTTCTTAACAAAACACCACCCTGTGACGGTGACCCAAAAGCCTTAAAAGGACAGCTGCGGACATTCATATGCAGACAGCATGAAATGCTTCTCCTGGCACTGACAGACATTTGAAAACTTAGAGGACTCAAAGTCACAACTTACACATCTCAGAAGAGGTGCACAGGGAGGAGCTTCTGCCTTAAAGGAACAAGGTCATTTGGGAGGTGCGGGAGTCCTTTCAAAGACAACACATTAACTACAACAAAAGAAGAGCGATACCACCCCCAGGGTTGGGGTGGGCGCAGATAGATGGGTGGCCTAAATGCAAGTCACCTGGAGTCCTGCAAAACCTAGCAAGAAACATGTTTTGGTGTCTGTTATGATTCAACAAAGGTTCCGGAAAAGACACTGTAGCAATGTAAACATGCAACCCAAGCTAGCATGAGGTTCTGGGTAGTGAGCCTGAAAGAGGAATAAGGCAACTGAACTGTGACTTTTGGGCCAGGGTCATCCATCTGCAACTGTCCAGGCTTGGCCTGACTTTTCTAGGTACTCATTCTGGCCTAAACTTCCTGGTAATCATGATGGTGAAGTTCTGGTTTCTGAACTTTAAATAAATGCTTTTAATATATAAATTTGGGAGTTGAAACAGGTATAACCTTTTCAAGTCTCCATGACTCGGGCACTTAAAAGTTTACTTTCACATTAAGGAAACCTTATCACAGATTCTCTTTAGCATCTATCATATTTATTTCCTTGGATTAAAGGATAGAAATGAACAGATCTGATTACAGACCCTCTTAGGATATTCTCTCTTAACTCTCCTAACAGTATACATACTCAAATCATCACCTCAATTCAAATGTCTATTTTTATCAAGAATCCCTTGATTCTTTTGTTTACAAAGCCCACTGAGACTACTCCTGGGTGTGATCAAACCTACTGGGGCAACTGTCACTGAGAACAGTCCTGTGGCTCCCTGGACACGCATCTCCTGGTGTCAGCAACTCTCTGTACCTTATTATAACTTTCTCCTTCCCTGTGACCCATGAGCAATTCATTTTTGGTTGCTGAATTTACACACTACCTTTGAAAACAAACTATTCCTAATTGAGTATGAGAATTTATAAGGTTTCCTGACTTCTGCACAATTCACAAATAACTAGGTAGATGCAATAGGAGACACTAAATTGAGAAGCAGAAAAGTTGTCCAGGAAGCATATTTAGATGAACAAAAGCCAATCAAACAAAGCATTTTTTATGCTAAAAAACTAAGACCAAACTAAAACAAGTATGTAATTCACAAGTAATTTTCTAAAATTTCAGCTAGGGGGAAAAAAAATCTATGGACTTATGATTGAATTACCATTAAAGCTTAAATGCTCGTTCCCAAGGAAGCATCGCATCTGCCAGCATTATTCACAGCCAATCCTTGCGCTAGCTGGTTGAGCCACTTGGGTTTTTACCCAAACATTAAATAGTGCTCAGAAAAGTAAGCAGTGCATCATAATTGGTTAAATACTACAAAATGACCTGTATCATAGAAACGAAGACACTTTCATTCAAAGAATATCTTAAAATTACTATTGCTGAAATAAATCAAAATCTACATTAAAATATTACTAATCACCATTACATGCCATAAAAGAATAAATATAAATCATGGCAGATTAATAGCAGCATAACAAAGCATCTTTACATATTTTCACACTTTGGGCTGCAAAAATACTCACAGCCTAGGAATACATTGGTAAAGTTCTGAATTTCACTTTGTTTTAGCTCCATATACTACAATAAAGTAAGGGCAGTGTGAATAACAGCTCCCTTTTCTGCATAGCTTCAAAATTATTCTCAGTAGACTTGAGGAATGGAACCAGAATGGCTTTGTCATTGGTCCACTGGTCCTTTGTCAAAGTGTTAAGGAAAACAATCAACAATGACTTCTGTTTATACAGAAAAGGAAAATAAGGCTATGCTTCACACACAAGCGTAACGTTTTCAAAACCACTGGAGAGTTTCACCTAAAGTGGAGGTTTCTGATAGAGTTTGAGCTGTGCTAGCCCCAGCCTTGGCTTCAGAGGTGCGACACGCCTGCCCCCACACCACCACAGGCCTGACGGGACCTGGGGACCTGCTGCACGTCAGCACTGAGGACACTTAAAAGACAATTTTCAGAACTTTAAAGGCCCAAATGGGGCATTCATATAAAATACAGTTCACTTGAACAAATCAGTCCTAACTTGACAATTTAAATGCTTATCCTTACAACTCAAAGTTACGCTGCACAGAGCTGACTTCTGCTCTACTTAGAACTTGACCCTCAGCCTAATGCTCAGGTTTCTAGGGGGAAGAGGAAGACAGGGGTACGGCTGGGCCGAACTCTGACTGCTGCAAGGCTGGTGACACTTTCTCCCTAAGACCTCGAAAGTGAAAATAGCTGAAAGTCAGACTCCTTATTTCACATACGAGCTTACAGCTGATGAAAACACCCACACAACTTAACACAATGGTTTTTTTTTTTTTTTTTTTGTCAAAACAAAGGTCTGCTGGTGATGCTTCACAGTGAAACCTCCATTATCACTGAGAACGTCACTTGGAAAACATTCTTAAGGAATGAGTCTCTTTCTCATAGGCTCAATTTCAGGATTCTCAAAACACAATGTTTTGTTCAGAAGTTCCCATGATGAGGCCTATTGTTTCTGAGGTTGACATTCTGTCTTCAGACCGGTTTCTGCTCCAGTCATAGGTTGTGGTTGTCTTTGTTCTTGGTTAGAACCTGCAAGTAGACTTCATGAAGTGTACTGAGGAAGCTGGAGTCATTCTGAAAGAGACGGTAATGTCAGTTACCTCATCGGACCTCATGTCCTTGATAACAGCTTAGGAAAAAGCTGTATAAATGATTTGTATAACTAGTAATCCAAAGAATCTCACCATCCAGAAACAACCATAATAAATATTTTGGAATATGCTCGGATATTTTTTCACCAGGTTTATATGCTCAGGAAGAGAATAACATTACTCCCAGCTAGTCCTGATTTCACTTTATGACCTACTTACTAACATATTTTTTTTTAAAAAATTAAAGAATAAAAATTCAAAGACTAAATTGATATTCTACATACCTTTATTAAATGTATTAATGTATCCTGGAGCTGAGACTTGCTGAGAATAATAGAAGGCTTTCTCTGATTTTCTGATGTTCCAATCGTCAAAGGAGAAGGGGAGCTAGCTTTCCTCTCCAGGTCTGTGGCCCTGGTGACCGCCTGCTGGAAAACACTCGGGGACAGCAGCACTGAAGACACTGCAGTGGTTGTTGCAGTAACCAGTGGGGGGCCTGCACCCTGCAGGGGAACAAGGGTCATTCTGTATCAAAGTGCAGAAGCCAACAGCCAGGCCCAAAGTAGGAAACACCTGATAACCGGATAAGCAGGAGGAGTCTGCAGCAGAGTCCAGTGCCAGCTACTGGAGTTCAGATAAGCATGCAGTAGAAGCATGTGAGCAGTTTACGTCTGGTTAGGAAGCTTGTCAGCTAAAGCATGAAGAGCCCATTTATGTGATAAGGATTCTGTGGAGTTGTTATGGGAAGCCAATCTGATCATCACAGAAGGGGAACAGGATGAATAACCAGCATGGTAGGTGCAATAAGAACCATCCTATGATAAATTAAACTGTGAAGTTTTTTTATGGGAGGGAATGACTGAAAAAGGGCACAGGGGAACATTTTGGGGTGGTGGAAATGTTGTGACTGGGTGGGGTTACTCAAGGGATATATGTTTATTAAAAATCACGAAAATTTGCATTTTATAATATGTAAATTTTACTTCAATAAAAAGAGCATTAAAAAATTCAGTTACATAAGCATCAGTTTCTTTTACAGTGTTCCATATATTTACTATGTACCACTGCTGGCATCAAAGATACAACTTTTTTTTTTAACAGATGTTTTTATTGATTTTTCAGAGAGAGAGGGAGAGAAAGATAGAAACATTGACGTGAGAGAGAAACATCGATTGGCTGCCTCCTGCACACCCCTACCTGGGATTAAGCCTGCAACCCTGGCATGTGCCCTGTCTGGGAACTGAACCAGGTCCTCTCAGTCCATGGGTTGATGCTCAATCCACTGAGCCACACTAGCTGGGCAAAGATACAATTTCTTAAAATTAAACTAATATCTGTTCCGGTCTGTTTGGCTCAGTGGTTAGAGTGGCAGCCCACAGACCAAAGAGTCACGGGTCCAATTCTGGTCAAGGGCACATACCTTGGTTACAATTCAGTGCCTGGTCCTGGTCGGGGTCATGCAGGAGGCAACCAGTTGATGTGTCTCTTGAACTGATGTTTCTCTCCCCACCAACCCGTCTGAAAATAAATGGAAAAATATCCTCAGATGAGGATTAAAAAATAATAAAATAAATAAATAAAACTAACACCCCTTCCCCCATTCAGATGAGCTTCTAGGTTAGTAATGGCTAACCATCAGAACACACTCAACCAGTAATAATCAGTTTTTTTAAATAATTCTCACATTTGATACAATCAACAAGAGAACGACATTTCTCTTTCTCTTTCTCCTATCACCCTCTTCATATATAAACAGCAAAGAGCCTGCCGGTTTTAAGGGTTTGGTTTTGGTGTCTGAGCCACTTCGCTTCTTTTTCTGGTGCAGCACCAGGCTGAGGGCTCCCGCCAATCACTATCGCAGGACAAGCTACAGGAAAGACTGGTTGACAAGACCGATCAGAAGCTGGCTTTAGTTTAAAATCTGAGACCTGAGGAGAGGTGCAAAGGCTCAAAAGCAAATGGAAATGTAAAATTTTGTAACTGAAAAAAAATAAGTTTGCATTTCAAGGTTGGGAGGTGATGGAGGGTAGGGACAAATTTTAAAAAATGGGGCAGGGGAGGACAAGCAAGAGACAGAAGATGCAGGCCGCGGAGGCCTTGCCGTTGGAGCAATGGGAGGCCCACGGGAGCACTGCAGCAGGTGGGGACACTGCCCTCTGCTAACTGGGACATCACGGCTCTTCCAGGGCAAAGAATGCTTCCTCCTCAGAGAACAGGTGCCGTGCCCTCAGCAGCCACCCATTCACAAACACTGAGTGTCCACGCTGTGGCTGACCGGCCCTGGAACCCACACAGTCAGGGAAGACAGAGAGATGACCTGAGGTCTACGGAGGTCATGGCAATGACTCTCTCTGGGGAGCAGGGGAGCCTGACCTAGGAGGGGGTTATTTACAACGGGTCTAGGCTTGAAAGCTTTAACTTTTCACTCAATTTTAACGTTTAATTCACACCCAGAAGAATTTAAACATAATGTGTTCTTTATTTTACTTTATTTTATTTATTTATTTTATTTTATTTTTTATCCTCACCTGAGGACATTTTTCCATTTTTTGTACAGATAGAGTGGGAGGGAGAGAGAGGAAGAGAGAGAGACAGAAACATCGATGCGAAGGGACACATCGAGTGGCTGCCACCCGCACGACCAACCAGGGCCGGGGACAAACTGCAACCGAAGTACGTGCCCTTAGCGGGAACCGAACCCGGGTCTCTCCGGACCGCAGGCCGATGCTCTAACCGCTGAGCAAAACCGGCCAGGGCTTATTTTATTTTTTTATCATCCTCACCCGAGGACATTTTTCCATTTTTTGTTCAGGTAGAGTGGGAGGGAGAGAGAGGAACAGAGGGAGAGAGAGAAACATCGATGTGAAAGGGACACATCGAGTGGCTGCCACCTGCACGACCAACCAGGGCCGGGGACAAACTGCAACCGATGTACGTGCCCTTAGCAGGAACCGAACCCGGGTCTCTCCGGACCGCAGGCCGATGCTCTAACCGCTGAGCCAAACCGGCCAGGGCTAAACATAATGTGTTCTTTAGAAACTGGGAGTCCTTGCCTGGCTGGTGTGGCTCGGTGGATTGAGCATTGTCCCCTAGACCAAGAGGTCCTGGTTCAGTTCCTGGTCAGGGCACATGTCCGGGTTGTGGGCTCGATCCCCGGTGGGGGGCATGCAAGGAGGCAGCTGATCAATGTTTCTCTCTCACACTGATGTTTCTATCTCTCGCTCCCTTCCTCTCTCTCTCTAAAAATCAATAAAAACATATTTAAAAAAGAAAAAATGGGAGTCCTTACCGGGATGGCACCGGATAACACCTTTGGCTGGGCAAAGCCTTCAGGATCCTGGTTTTGCTGCATAGACTGCAATGTTTAAAAAAGAAAGATGAACAGATGTAGCACATTTCAATTAAGATTTCCTAGTTTCTGGGGGAAAAAGTAGGTTAGCAAGAGAAAACGTTAGCAGTGGCTCCAACATTAACTAGTTTCCGATTCCTAAGGGAAGAGGCTGACAGGAACTTGTGACAATGCACCGGAGACTCGCCTGCAGGTCAGAGCTCAGGGCACCTCCCGCCTCCTCAGTTCCCCAAGGAGGTGTGTGCGAAGCCTGTAACGTGTCTGTAAGGAAAAAGCTGAAACCTGTGATTCTTGTAAGAGCTGGGTTGCCCACGTATACTGTTGCTGTTGAGCCTGCAGAGATGCAAGACCCTGGAGGACACCTCCTGAGAAGGTGACTGAAACTGTGGACAGGCGGCACCAGTCTTCATCCAGGGTCCCACTTACACAGGCTAAATTTTGTCCCCATTCACTCAGAGAGAAAGAACTTGTTGTAGAGCAAATACATTAAAATTCAATGAGGCCCTGGGTCCTAAAACTGGATATTGTCACATAAACAAAAATGTATACAGATAAGCTGGCCTTCAAGATTGATGGCAACTGGAATGGCTCAGCTGGGGGGATGTCACCCCATGCCCTGGAGGTTTCTGGTTCGATTTCTGATCAGGGCACATGCCCGGGTTGTAGGCTTGAGTCCCAGTAGGGGGCATGTGGGAGACAGCTGACAGATGTGATGTTTCTCTCTCATAGATGTTTCTTTCTCTCCCTCTCTCTGAAATCAATTAAAAAAAAAAAAATGCTGATGGCCACACTTCACTTCCAGAGCAACAGGAAGTGTGGCAGCAGACACACTGCAGGGCATAAGCCCTAACAGTTCAATAGGACACCCTCTCTCCTCGACAGAAATGGCCCAAAGTGACAATTTAATAATGTAACCAAAATACAAAATTTACTCTTTGAAAAGAATGAAACAAAATATTCCATTAACTAAGAAATAATATATAATTATGATGATGAGCTCTTCTACACAATATTTGGTAAAGTGTTAAGACTGGAGATTATCATTATTAAAGGGCATGAGACTAAAATCTTGAAAACTAATCAATACACATTACACTAGAAGGTTCTACCCTCTTTCAGTTCTGTGATCTTGTAACTCACCAACCTCATAAATTATTCAGTCCCAATTCCCACAGCACTCGCGAAGTGCCTGCCTGTGCCGGGTGGACCAGGGCGCCATAAGAGCACCTCGGGTCTGAAGGTACAAGGTCAAATAACGCTTCCTGGTGAAACTGATGTTCAGCCAACATCTGAACCCTGCCCCACACTCTGCCATGAAGTCTCACTAATCATCCTTTTTAACAGACCCACTTGTCCACATTCCTACTAGTCCCCACCAGCTCAAACCTGGGTGACTGCCAAAGCCTCCTCCCTGATGGGTCATCCTACTTGTCTTCTCCTTTCCCAGCATGCCACCCTTTCCTCAAAGCCCTTGAGAGATTCTCTAGGGTTCTGAGAACAAACCTCAAACTCCATAACACAATTTACAAAGTCTCACTCATCAACCAATACCCACACTCCCATTTTTTTCTATAGTAGATCCAGTCACACTACAATCGAGTTCACAAATGCCTTCTCAACCCCAGGACCCCCGCACATGCTACTACCCTTGCCTCAAACACTTCCACACCTCTAGGAACGTCTGGCTAATTTTACTGAGCTTTCCTATCTCAGGTGAACATCAGTTTCACTAGGAAGCTTTACCTCAGACCTCCAAACCTGGGATGCTCTGAAGGCACCCTAGTGTGCCTGGCATAGGATAGATACTGAATGAGTACTGAGGGAGCTGGGAACTGAACCAAGCTTGGGATAATTTGAATCTGAGTGGTCCTGAGTCAAATGAGGACTTCTGAAACTATCAGGCAAAAAACAAACAAAAAACCCTAAAGTGCATACTCTGTTAGGAAAATGCAAATACTGTTTCTTAGCTTTCATCAGTTGAAATAATTTCGAGAAGTAGAATGTGTTATGACACCATTCACCAATTATTTCGTTGTTTATTACAGGGCTCTGACCTCCCCTTCCTTCTAGCCTGACATACTCAATAGTTGTCTCTTTAAAATGACTCTCTTTCATTTCAGTCAAAATCATGGTCTTTCCAGTTTCATCCCACCCAGTTACAGCACCCACCCTCCTGCCAGTACCTGAAGGGGAGCAAGCACCATGTTGCTCAGGGTGGTGGAGGCTCTTGCTCCTGTCTTAGGGGGAGGCTCTATGAAGCTCTCAGGGGTGGCCAGCTGGCCAGCTGCTGGAGAAAAGCCAGGTGCCACTGCACCCTTCCCAAGCGACTGTGTCTGTATTTGGTCATGCTGTGGGGTCAACCTGAGTTTCTGGAGAAGATCAATGCTTGGGAGGGTTGTACCAGCGGTATTTGTCACGCTCAGTGGTGCCCTGAAGGGGCTCTGGCTGGCAGGCAGACCGGCATGGCTCAGCTCAGGGACTGGCTGACTCAGGAGTGGAGACCTCTGTCTAGGCGTGGTCTTCACTGCTTGCATCATGGTGGTGCTTCGGGCTAAGCTGGAGTGAACCTGTGCAGTAGGAGCTTCTGCTGGTAGAGTGGGGCTGAGCCCAGGACGCAGTGGGATCGCATAGCTTGGGACCTGTTTTTCACTGGACTGTGAGATGGAGGCAGGAGTGATTAGCACCGGGGCGGTGACTTCAGGTTGCACTGAGTGGTGGGCAGCCGGATGGACTCCCAGGTTTTCTGACTGAGGGGCGCCTCCTGATTGCTCAAAGGAAAATGGTAGGAATGAGCTAAATTCTTTTTGAGCGGCATCTCCTGGCAGCCTCTCCACTTCTTCTGAATCCAGACCCACAACTGTTGGCTGTTCCTTTGGCAAAGAGGTTCCAAATAATTCTTCCACTGTCAGGTGTTTGTGTCCAGATAAAGCAGACTGAAAAACAAATCAAACCACTCAAAGAAAGAAATCTCCTGCAAACCAGTGTAACTTCTTTTTCACAACCAAAACGGTTTGCAGAAGCAAGGATGGATGGAGTCTGAAAACAAGAAAATGGAACAAACTGAAGAGGCACTAGTGACTAAGGCCAAGACGCAGCTCATCTTCCCACGTTGGTGGGCAGAAATCTACCTCAGCAGCCCTGGCTGGGTGCTCAGTTGGTTAGATCGTTGTCCCGATATGCCAAGGTTGTGGGTGTGATCCCTGGTCAGGGCACATACAAGAATCAACCAAAGCGTGCATAAATAAGTGGAATAGTAACTGATGTCTCTCTCTTAAAAAAAATCTGCACTAGAAATAAAATACAAATTTTAGGGACTCCAGATAATAGTGTTAGAATTCACCTTTTTCTTGGCAAAAGATTGATATTGGGTGAAAGGAAAATTACTTTATTACAAAGTTAATCGAGCCTAGTGCCCCCTGTCAGTAACACATGTAGGGAAATCAAACTCAGGAGGACAGAGGGATATAGTGCTGATCAAGTAATCCTACTTTTATTTTCACTGTTCTTGATACAAAGCTAGGCATTGCACCTTGAGGACTGGGTCTCAAATACCAGAAAATAAATATAACCACTTAAAAAAAAAAATAGCAGGCCATTCTTCATCCTCTTCCCAAATCACAAAATTCTTAAGAAAAGCCAGAGCATTTAAGGCCCGCGCGTGAAATGCACACCCACGTGACTGATCTGGCCTGCTGACACCACTGCACCGACCGAAAGGAGCAGCATTCATGCTTTCCAACCGTGGGCTGTCCTGCACCTCCCCACCTCCACATGTTGCCTATTCATTTCACCTTTATTGACAGGGTGCCAGGTCCTGCTCTGACCTGGGCCCAAGGGACACAGCAGGGAGTAACAAAAAAGTCCCACCCCAACAGAGCTTACATTCCAGTGGGAGACAAACCTAAGTACTTTGAAAACACAAGTAGCCTCAACTTATGGTTTTATTATTATTTTTAATCCTCACCTGAGGACATTTTTCCACTAATCTGCAGATAGGGCTGGAAGGAGAGAGGGAGAAGGAGAAGGGGAGAGAGAGAAAGAGAGAGAGTGAGAGAGAGAGAGAGAGAGAGAGATTGACGTGAGAGATCACAGCGATTGGATGCCACCTATACAACCCCAACTGGGGCCAGGAATGAACTGCAACCCAGGTACGTGCCCTTGGCCAGAATCAAACCCAGGACTCTTTGGTCTGTGGGCGCCGCCCTTGCTGCTGAGCTATACCAGCCAGGGTTCAACTTATGGTTTTATTTCTAAAGTGTGTGGACTACTTAGTTGTTTAGATATGTTTATATGTAAAAAACACGATTTTCAGGGCCTCAGAAAATCTATAAAGGCTCTAAAGTACACTGCATGTGAAGTATAATCACGATAGTTCTATGGTATGATCACATTTCTACAAAAAAATGAGCACACTTTTTTCGTTTTTTTTTTTAATCCTCACCCGAGGACATTTTTCCATTTTTTTGTTCAAACAGAGTGGGAGGGGGAGAGAGAAAGAGAGAAACATTGACATGAAAGGGACACATCGAGTGGTTGCCACCCACACGACCCAACCAGGGCCGGGGACAAACTGCAACCGAGATACGTGCCCTTAGCGGGAACCGAACCCGGGTCTCTCTGGACTGCAGGCTGACACTCTAACCGCTGAGCCAAACGGGTCAGGGCTGAGCACACTTTTTTCCAGGCCAATGTTTGTTTCATCCATTTGACAATAATGACTGAGTCCGCCAGGTGCCAGGACGCTGTGCTGTGATGGTGGGTGTGGGGAAAAGAAGGGAGAGGGGCTTACTGGCAGCAGGCTCTAGGGGAGAGGGCTGGGATGTCCTTTGTCAAGGAGACACAACAGGAGAAGGAGGCCAGTGCTGAGGACAGAGCATGCCGGGCAGTGCACAAGGGACAGCAGGGAAGGCAGTGCCCTGGTGAGGACAGCACCCGCTGCTGGTGAGAGGTGGCAGAGCAGGGCTGAGGAGAAGGAAGACAGCACCAGGTAACTGTTGTTGAGGAAGCAGCAGAAGCCTCCTCCAGTTGTGAAAAACTGTAATTTCATGCCAAACAATTTTATCTTAGAAAATATTCAATAAAGAGAACTCTATTAATATTTAAAAACTAACATATCTTGGCAAATTAATGTGACAAGAGGTTTAAGGGAAGGAATCCTGAAATGGCAAGTTCAGACCACCCACTACCATGAGGTAATGAGACCAGCAAGTCTGTGTTGTCACATCTCCCAGTAGTTTAAGGGATCTTCCAGATTCAAAATCCACTTCAAATGTAAGGCAGCACTGACATCTAATTGCAAACTGTGGATGTAAAAAAATGCACAAAATCTTTTTAAAAAATTTATTTAATCTTTTTTTAATCCTCACCAAGGATATTTTCCCACCTATTTTCAGGTAGAGTGGGGGGTGGGGAAGGGGGAGAGAGAGAGGAAAACAATGTGAGAGAGACAGACACCGACTGGCTGCCTCCCACACGACCCCGACCGGGGACCAGACCGGGGAACCAAACCGTAACTGAGGTATTTGCCCTTGAGTGGAATCGAACCCAAGGCTCTGCAGTCTGCGGGCCAACGCTCTAACCACTGAGCCAAACTGGCCAGGGCAAATGCACAAGGTCTTATATGGTTTAACTTCCTTACATTTTTACTTCTGAAAAAGTTATAGAGCTATGGCCTGAAATCAAAGATACCTAGGTTTAATTCCCAGAGTTTAAGTAGGAAAATTATATAATCTATTTAGTTCTCTCACCTGAAAAATGGGGGCGGTTGTGGTAATCACCTCATAGAGCTGTTGTGAAAATTAAATTATCAATCTAATGTCTGGTGCCCAACAAACATCCAGTAAATGGCAGTTGGCTATTACCATCACACGAACACCATGTAGTCTTATATCAAGCATGATAAATCTGTGTTAGCGTATGGTTTAAGGGACATCAACTAATATGTTTGGATATTAAAAATTCATCAAATCCTCTGGAATATCATGCCCCTATAATGCAAATAACAACAATACACCTGAAGAGATATCAAGGCCATACTATTATAAACCACCCTGTAACATTTCAAATTCATTCAATGTAATTTAAAATAGACCATGAGTTCTCCCATGGGGCTGACTTCTCTGTGCCCAGGCCACATAACTAGTAGAATGCGCAGGTTCCACTTCCCAACCTGCCCACTGACATTTATTCCTTTTGGATCCCTGGCATCATAAATGTCTATTGATGAACAGAGAAAAATACCCCCCACAATATCTAAGAATTATGATAAAATATACATAACAAAAGTTACAATTTTAACCACATTTAAGTGACGTTCAGTGGCATTCAGTACATTCACAATACTGTGTAACTACTACCATCTATTTCTAGAACTTTTTCATCAACCCAACAGAAACTCTGTACCCATTCAATAATGACTCCCTATTTTTCTCTTCCTCCTGCCACCCCACCTACAGCCCCTACTAATCTCAATTCTACTGTTTCTATAAATTTGCCTATTCTAGGTACCTCGTGTAAGTGCAATCATGCAGTATTTGTCCTTTTATGACTTGCTTACTTCACTTAGCATGTTTTCAAGGTTCATCCATGTTGTAGCATGTGTCAGAATTTCATTCCTTTTTAAGGCTGAACAATATTCCACTGTTTGCATATCTTGTTTACTCATTTACCTGATGACTGACACTTGGGTTGTTTCTATCTTTGGCCACAATGAATAATGCTGCTATAAACATCAATGTAAAAGTATCAGTTTTAGTCCTTGTTTTCAGTTCTGTTGGGTATATGTCCAAGAACAGAACTGCTGGATCATATTGTAATTCTACATTTAACTTTTTGAGGAACTGTTGAACTGTTTTCCACAGCTGCTGCACCATTTTACATCACCACCAGCAATGCAAGAGGGTTCCAATTTCTCCATATTCTTGCCACTACTTGTTGGCCATTTGTGTATCTTAGTAGGAAAGATGTCTATTCAAGTCCTTTGCCCATTTTTGAGTTGGGTTCATTCCTTTTTATACACATTATGCTTAAAACAAAATGATCAAGATGCTTGGCAAAAAATATAGTGCTAGAAAACTACACTGATTTTTATTCATTAATGCAAATTATGTAGATCTTCACCACATTCTGTTATGTATTTATATCTATATCTGTATCTAAATCTATATCTATATCTATGCAGAGAAACCAACATTTAGATGTAACTGCTTTGAAAATCACAGACCATACTAGGCCTATTTTGCAGAAATTTAAGTCTTTCCCAGGTAAGAATACTATTTTTATAAGAAAAGGAGTAATTGTAATAGGACATGGAGAAGCCTCAACACAAAATACACCTTAGGCTTCAAAAAGGGCATGATCCATGTAACAATTTTAACCTGCCTAGTGGAACATCAATCAACTTTTGAACAATTAAAATAACTTCCATTTACATTTGGAATGTTTCTATACTTACACTTAAAAAACAGGTATTTCTAATGGTTTAAAATCAACTTCATATTAAAAAAATGAAACTAGCTCTGGCCAGTTTGGCTCAGCGGTTAAGAGTGTCGGCCCTTGGACCAAAGAGTCGTGGGTTTGATTTCGGTCAACGCACGTACCTCAGTTGTGATTCGGTCCCTGGCCCTCGTTGGGTGGTGCAGGAGGCAACCAACTGACGCGTCTCTCTCACATCGATGTTTTTTTTCCCTTTCTCTCTCCCTCCCCCTCTATCTGAAGATAAATGGAAAAATATCTTTGGGTGAGGATTAAAAAAAAAAAGAAAGAAACTATATGATGAAAACGTGAACCCAAGACTGCAAAAGCAGCAGAAAAATTTCAGATTTCTCAATGCTGCCTTCCTACAACTTCTGCAGAGCAGAAACAGATCCTAACACTTTCTCTGGAGCAGGGTGTGTGGTCAAACATTAGGGTTTCAGATATATCTCCCATAAAAAGGGATAAATGAAATTGTGATGACAATAAGTTATCATAAGCAGAATGGTCACTACATGGGAAGCCCTGGGCTACATACTTCAGGTGCATTACTCTATTAATCGGTGAGGGCAGTACTATTATTGACATTTTATAGACGATGCCCAAGTACAAAACGATCAGACTCTAGTCTAGTTCTAACAACACAGTCCACCTTCTTACCATTATGCCACCACACTGAGATGTCAACTAAGCAGACTATAGGTTACCTAATCAACTGAACGGTGATATTAATCCCTGGAAAACAGAGGTGCAGCTAAAGCTTAAATAACTAAGAAGTGGCTACAGGTCCAAATGTACCAACTTTGGAAACATGTAACTGGCGAATCATCACAAGAGGCTGAACTGAGTAAGCAGAGCACATTCCTCCGCATGAGTTCCCAACAGTTACAGTCCCGGTGCCTGAGAGGACCCGGTCATAAGAAAAACTGGCTACATTCCTAGCAACTGGGCTTATTTATTCATGGATTCATCTTCCATAGAAAAGGTGAAATTTTACACTTCCCTCATATACGAAGATGCTTCAGGTTTGGATTCTGAGTTTTATAGTGTCTCACTTTAACCAAGGGTGAGGCTGACCATTTCCCTTGGGAGATGGTTCAGTGAGCAACAGCATGTATGGTGCACAGTGGAATTATAATACACTGTATCAGGTTTCGCACTGTTCTCTGCTCACCTCACAGCTCTCACTATTTAGAGAATTTCATATTTGTTTGGCTCTATTGTGTCCATGTCAGATTTCCTACCTGGTCAGTAAACTGAGCACACAAGAAAGTATACATTGCCATAAAGATAAAAAAAAAAAAAAAAGCAGCCATTAGAGAAGTAGTCCCAAGAGAATTTTAATAAATGAATTATGAAACAAATAGAATTTAATACTATTAAGTCTTGAGAGCATTATTTGCTCCTCAGCACTAGATGGCAGTGTTACTACAGAAATGTACTAGCTTCGTGGTGGGGCTGATTATGGGCTAATTTTAGTTAGTCATGGCTTCTGACAAAATTCAGAACTCAGTGTTTTATAAAATTTTGCCACTCTGGCCTATAAAATAAAATTTTATTTATTTATTTTTTAAATCCTCACCCGAGGACCTTTTTTTTGCATTTATCTTCAGATAGAGCGGGAGGGAGGAAGGGAGGAAGAGAGAGAAACATCCGACGTGAGAGAGACACATCGAGTGGTTGCCACCCACATGACCCCAATAGGGGCTAGGGACAAACTGCAACTGAGGTATGTGCCCTTAGCGGGAACCAAACCCAGGACTCTGTGGTCCACGGGCTGATGCACTATCCGCTGAGCCAAACTGGCCAGAACTGAAATTTTACTTTTTAAACAATATGTTTGACTGACTTATTTATTGTTAATCCTCATCCAAGGATATTTTTCCATTGGTTTTTAGGTAGAGTGGAAGGAAGGAAGGGAGAAAGAGAGAAAGAGCAACATCAATGTGAGAGTGACACATCGATTGGTTACCTCCCACATGACCCCAACTAGGGCCAAGGTACATACCTACAACCCAGGTATGTACCCCCGACTGGGAATCAAACCTGCAACCCTTTGGTCTGTGGGCTGACGCTCTAACCTCTGAGCCACACCATCTGGGCTAAAATGAAAATTTAAATGTATGTGAAAAATGAAGGAACAGCAGCATCAGCACTGTTTGCATTAGAGGGTACAACTCTTTGAGAGCCTACCACTCGAATTCTGTATGTCCACAGATCCATCACCAGTGCTTCTGTTATAGGGCTCAGCACCGATGGCTTGTCACACTCATCTTTCCATGAACAGTGCTTTATGGGTCTTTAGGCATTTTTGAGGGGTACAAGTATTCACTTGCGTCTCACAGTAACTGTTAGACAATGCCAGAATCCTTAACCCCATGTTTCAGAAAGGAAAGGGAACTGACTGGCCCACTGAACACTCATGGCTAATAAACCAGACCAAAAGGAATGCAGGGACCCTGGCTCCTTCTTTCCCTCCATCTCTCAACATATATTTTCAAAAAAAAATTCTACATAGCACCACTTATTTTTTTGACCTGCAGGATCCTAAATACAAATACAGTAAGAAGGAAACATAGGAATGTAGTAAACAACATCTGGTTTAAATAAGTTATCACTGCCTGGCTGGTGTGGCTCAGTGGTTGAAAGTTGATCCATGCACCAAGAGGTTGCCAGTTCGATTTCCAGTCAGTTCACATGCCCAGGCTGTGGACCAAATCCCCAGTGGGGGGCATATAGGAGGTGGCCAATCGATGTTCTCTCTCACTGATATTTCTCTCTCTCTCTCTAAACACCCCGCCCCCCAAAAAAACTATGGGTTTGCCCTGGTCAATTTAGTTTAGCAATTAGAGCGTTGGCTTACAAACTGAAGGGTTTCGGGTTAGATATCTGGACAAAGGCACATACCTGGGTTGCAGGTTCCATTCCTGGCCCCAATTGGGGTCTTTTGGGAGGCAACCGATTGATGTCTCTCTCACATCAATGTTTCTCTCTCCCTCCCTCCCTCCCACTATATGTAAAAATAAGTGGAAAAATATCCTCAGGTGAAGATTAACAAACAAAACTATGGGTTTTATTTGGTTATCTGTTCATTTATCAAGCTATCAGTTGTAAAGAAAATCAGTTCAGTTAACAAATATTTACCATGCTAGATACTAAGTAAGAATAGATGCTTACATATGGGGAGGAGATACAATGAATAAATACAGAAACCACAACCATGTTAGGAGGGCAGAAGTCTTAGGGAGAAAATAAAGCACAGCAGGACAGGTAGGGAAGAATTTTTATTAAAACAGAGAGGTAAGAGAAGGCCTCACCTATATAGAGGACACCTGAGTTCTGAAGGAAGAAAGTGAGCAAGCCACATACAGGAGGAAAGTATTCCAGGCCAAAGGAACAAGTGCAAAAGCCTGTCCTGAGGCAGGAGCAGGTCTGGCACATTTGTGGAAAGGCAAAACAGCCACTGAGGCTGGGGCTAAGTGAGCAAGGCAGAGAGATAGAAGATGAGACCGGGATACGGGGCCAGATCAAGTAGGGCTTTGTGGGCCACTGCCATGACATTGGCTTTTGAGTGAGACGGGATACCACTGGAGAGTTTTAAGCAGGAAAATGCCAGGGCCTAGCTTGTTTTGCCAAGATTACTCTGGCAGCTGGGTTAAGAACAGATAAGGAGGTGACAAAAGCAAAAGCTGGAAACCAGACAGAGGCTTCTAAAAAATCCAGATGAAAGGTATGTGCATGGACCAGGGAAAATGACATGAGCGGATGCCACTATGCTGCTGCCCACACATGCCTTGACAGACAAAGGACAAATCAAACTAGTACTGCACTAAAATCCTTACAAAAACTACTGTGTTTTGTTATCTTGGACAAGGCTAGGACTTCAGCTGTACAAACCTTATCTTGTGACCCGGATGGCATCTCTTCTAGAGTCTCAGTGCTTCCCAGATTGGAGAGCTGAGTACTTGGCTGTAACCCAGGGCTGGAGATATTTGAGTCGCCCATCTGATTCTTAAATCAAAAGGAAAAGTATATCACGTGAAAAAGTTTGCTATTATTTGGCTCACACAACAGCAATTGAGGTTATCAGAAGTGCTATTTTAAAAAACAAACAAACAAACAAACAAACAAACAAACAAAATCCAAATGTTTTGTTTTAGACCCCCAGGTAACATACAGTAAAACTTCTATCAAGTTGAACACTTCATTTTAGACAATAATGTTAGCAACAACTGTTGTTTTGATAACCCTTTTAAGGAAAAGCCAATGGTAATACTTTATTACATATTCTTTTTCATTAAAAAAATTTCCCAATTTTATTGAGAAATAATTGATATACATCACTGTATTTTAAGATGTACAGTATGATAGTTTGATTTACATATATTGCGAAATAATTACAATAGGTTCTGCTGACATCAATTTTCTCATATAGGTACAATAAAAAGAAAAAGAGAGGTATTTTTCATTTTATTTTTAATATATGGTAAAATTAACGTTCCTGGGGGTATACAGTTCTGTGTACCCATCACCATAATCAGGATGTAAAATAGCTCTATCACCCCCAAAAAACTCCCTCCTACTGTCTTATTGTAGTCATACCCTTCGTGCATTCTTAGAAACTAGTGATCTGTCCTCTGTCAGTTTAGTTTTGTCTTTCTGAGAATGTTGTAAAAAAAAAAAAAAGGAATGCTGGCTTCTTTGTCCTTCAGGCCTCCAAAGACTCATATGTACGGAATTCATAATTCTGTACATATTAGTGTTCATTCCTTCTTACTGCTGAAGTATTCCACTGTGTGACTACATTACAGTTTGTTTAACCATTCACCCCTAGGAGGACATGTATGTTGCTTTCAGTTTTTGGTGATTATGAATGTAGCTTTTATAAATATTCACAGTTTTTTTTGTGTGTGTAGACAAAAGCTTCATTTCTATAGAGTAAATACCTAGGAATGGTACCTAAAATTCTTTCATAAATTTCTTCTAAATTTTTATAGTTTTGTTTTACATTTAGATCTATAATCCATTCGAGTTGATTTTTGTTACAGGTGTTACTTTTAGGTCAGCATTCTTTTTTTTTTTTTTTTTTGCATATAGATGGCTAATTATTTCCAATCATTTGTTGAAATCATCATATATTCCTGAAAATTAAACTAAAATTTAGGTTCCCTGACAAAAGTCATAAAATGTTATAAAATTCCTGTTAACTTGTATACAACACTACAAGTGAAAATACTTTTGTTCTTAGAGAGAATACTAAAAAAAGAGATGGAGATGGAATTACAGTACTTTAGAAACTTAAATTCTATTTGGGTTATCTGATCCTGCACCTGGTGAACAGTATCTAGGTCAAAATAAACACCAAACACAGTTTAGAACACCCAAGATAAAAAAAACGGCCTTAAACTTCAGTCCAGAGACAGACTAATTTTTCTTGATACCATATTATAAAGGTATGTGCTTAGCATAGAGTAGATACTTGAATGTTAAATGAATGAATGATACGCATTTTTCCTATTCAAATGCCTTAACCCTTATTTTAGAATACCATTTATGCTGTGTTACCCATTTAAGTAGAGGTGAAATATTCGGTGAAAACCTATGAAATATCTTCCAACATATTTGTGTAACATCACCATCAACTTTATCAACACACTGGAAAACACGTGGAACTGAACTGTATTAGAGAAAATACAAACTCAAAACATTGTTCATAACAAGTTCTTAAAACAGCACTATAAATGTTCTGGAAAATTTTTAATATTGGGAGTTTTTAGATAAAAATCCCAGTCTGGCCCTGGCTGGTGTGGTTCAGTGGTTAGAGTGTCTGACCATGCACTGAAGGGTCATGGGTTCAATTCCCAGTCAAAGGTACATATCTGGGTTGCGGGTTGGATCCTTGGCCCCGGTTGGGGCGCATGCGGGAGGAACCAATTGATGTGTCTTTCTCACATCGATATTTCTGTCTCCCCACACTCTCACTCCCTTCCACTCTCTCTTAAAAAAAAAAAAAAAAAAAAAATCAATGCAAAAAAATATTCCCAGGTGGACTGATTAACAAAACAAAAAAAATCCCAGCCTGTCATCTTAAGAGAAGCTGGATAATTTGGCAACAACTGCCTGGAGGTGAGCTGCAACTGACTGATAAAGCGACAGGCTCTCTGTCAGACCCACCCTGGCCCACTGTAGACACTACCACGCCCATGTGGTTCTGCAATACATTTGTGCAATACTTGAAACCCAACATGAGCTCATTTAAAAAGGTCCCTAGAATGTCACTATTTTTCCATACGTGTGCAGTGCCATTCTTGGAAGGTTTATTCTGAGTTTCTGTTAATGACAGTTTTCAATGTTTCTAAGGACTGGGGGATAATCACAGACAAATTTTCTGGAGGGAAATTTTATATTTGATATAAATCTTTAAAATGTCGAAATCCTTTGATCTACTAATTCCATTTCAAGTAACTTATCTTGAAAGAAAGATTGTGCATGAATACTTAGCTATAAGAATATATTCTGAATTCTTAATAGAAAGAATCAGAACAACCTAGGTTATTATTCATATATAGCACAGAAGGAAAAATACACAGCTATTAACATCACAATTCTTTTTGAAAAAAATTTTTCATTCCAGCAAATGAAATCTCACAGGGACTCCCTATGTAGTTACGGTCATAAAACCATAATGTTCTTGGGGGGGGGGGGAGTGACAGGTTACAAAAGTTAATGAAAACTACTTTTAAAACTAGTGAATAAAACTAGTGTACACAAATATACCACAAACACTGGGATATATCTATATATATTTCTGCAAGGATACATGACAAAGCACTAGCAATGATTATTGCTATGTGGTGGAATTATAATTTTTCTTTTATTGTAACTTTTAAATATAAAAGTTTTTGTAATTAATATGTAAGGCTTATATAATAAATAACGGTGCACCTATTTTTTTAAGAACAAAAATGTCTGGGTTTAAAAAACAATTGCAGTTAAATTAAAACAAAATAAACAAATGAAAAACCTCTGCCAAAATCCAAGATTACAAATCCAGGCAAGAAGCAACTCAGCTGTGAAGGACTGAGGTTTCAGCTATCTTTCTTTACCTTATAAATAGGAATGGTGGTTAAAACTAACTATAGTACTTGGGGAGAAAATGTTTATTATAAAGAGTTTTCATGTTCAAACAGTCTCTATTATAAATACCTCACCAAAAAGTCTGGAATTTCATTCACTGTATTAATATACACTGGTCAGGGAAGATTTAGAATTGGGATTAAATACCATCGCTGAGGCCTAGCTTGCTCCCCTGCCCTTGACTCTGTCAATCTCCCAAGTCTCTTTCTAAAGATAAACAAAGGGGCCATCTGGAACCATGTGACAGCTGAGGAGAACCCATCCAAACACTAAGATATGAATTCATGGGTCACTGCTAACACCAACTCCATCAGATGATAGGCCAAGTGCAGACAAGAAACAAAACTGCTGTTTATGGAAGTGCTACCTGTTTGCACAGTTTTAAAAAACAGAACAGATTATAAAGTAAATATCAAAGTTTTAACTAAATTCCCAAAGATTTTTATTTTTATTAATTTATTTTTATTACAGATGTTTCTCCTTTTTTCCCATTGACACCCTCCTCCCCATCCCCCAACCCTGTCCCCAGCTTTGTTGTCCATGTCCATCGGTTATGTGTACATGCATATAAGTTCTGTGGTTTATCTCTTCCCTCCCCCCACCACCCCCTCTTCTGAGGGTTGTCAGTCTGTACCCTACTTCCACGTCTCTGGGTCTACCCTGTTTCTCAGACTGTTAGGTTCATTATATTCCACAAATAAGTGAGATCATGTGATATTTGTCTTTCTCTGCTTGGCTTGTTTCCCTTAGGATAATACTCTCCAGGTCCCTCCACGTTGTCTCAAAGGATAAGAGATCTTTCTTTCTTACAGCTGAACAGTACTCCATTGTGTATATGTACCACAACTTTTTTATCCATTCGTCTACTGATGGACACTTGGGCTGTTTCCAGGTTTTAGCTATTATAAATAGTACTACTATGAATACGGGGGTGCATATATTCTTTCCGATTGGTGTTTTAGGCTTTTTAGGGTATATTCCTAGAAGTGGGATCACTGGGTCAAATGGTAAATCAATTTTTAATTTTTTGAGATAACATCATATTGTTTTCCATAGTGGCTGCACTAGTCTGCATTTCCACCAGCAGTGTACTAGAGTCCCCTTTTCTCCAAACCCTTGCCAACACTTGTTGTTTGATGATTTGTTGATGGCGGCCATTGTGACAGGCGTGATACCTTACTGTTGCATCTCTCTGATGATCAGTGATGTGGAGCATTTCTTCATTTGTCTCTTGCTTGGAGAGGTGTCTCTTTAGGTCCTCTGACCATTTTGTAATTGGGTTTTGTCTTCCTTTTGTTGAGTTGTATGAGCACTCTATGTATATTGGAAATTAACCCCTTATATGATGTATCATTGGCAATTATGTTCTCCCATACAGTGGGTTCCCTTTCCATTTTGATGGTTGTTTCTTCCGCTGTGCAGAAGCTTTTTAGTTTGATGTAGTCCCATGTGTTCATTTTTTCCTTTGTTTCTTTTGCCTTAGGTGATGTATCAGTGAAAATTCTGCCGCGTATGATGTTTGAAATTTTGTTGCCTACATTTTCTTCTAGGATTTTTATGGATTCATGAGTCACATTTAAGTCTTTTATCCATTTTGAGTTTATTCTTGTGTAGGGTGTAAGTTGATGGTCTAGTTTCATTTTTTTGCATGTAGCTGTCCAATTTTCCCAACACCATTTATTAAAGAGGCTGTCTTTACTCTACTGTATGCTCTTGCCACCTTTGTCAAATATTAATTGAGCATAATGTCTTGGGTCAATTTCTGGGTTCTCTGTTCTGTTCAGATTTTGATTTTTTAAAAAAACATCCTCACCCGAGAATATTTTTCCATTGATTTTTAGATAGAGTGGGATGGAGGGAGGGAAAGAGAGATAGAAAGAGAAACACCGACTGGTTGTCTCCTGCACAACCCCAACCAGGGCCAGGGATCGAACTGAAACTGAGGTATGTGCCCTTGACCAGAATCGAACCCAAGCCTCTTTGGTCCTTAGGCCAACAACTCTAACCACTGAGCCAAACCGGCCAGGGCTTTTTTGATGTATCTTTATTGTTGAAAGTATTATAGACATCCCCCTCCCCACTCCTGCCTGCCCCCTGCAAGATTTAGTTTTAATCTAACCATAGACAACATTTTATTTCTTCCATACAATGAAAGAATTTTCTTACAACTGCAATTATTGTTCTACCCACATTCTTATTTTTGCAATGTGTGTTAACTAGCAATCCGGCCAGATTTTTGGATTGTCCACTCGACCTAAGGCTCCTTTACAGCTCTGTGCACAAAATCGAGGTTTGGTTCCTTCTTTCGTTTTGTGGCTACTCAGTCCTCAGCTTGAGGTGTAAGCCTGGCCACCTCATGCAGTGTCTGCTCTAGTGTACAGCACCTATGCTTTCTGTTCATGTGGCACCTTGATCTGGTCATCACCAGCAACAAATGACAAGAGCCTGGACTTATTAGTCACCTTACATCAGAACAAAGAAACAGAGCAAGGCATCTATGTAGATAACTCAGACCTCATTAAGGATATGAAAGGAAATTTGGGGGATATAAGGTAACTTAAAAGTTCAGAAAATGGTTCTTGAAATTTATTTTCATCCAGTTTCCTGAGAATCAATGAATTCATTATAGAGAAGACTGCTTTTCCTATATTAATTTTCACAGATCCACAGGTTCCTCCTAATTCTCTATGAAACACTGAAGAATTTTGTACAACTTGAAACTTTCTCACGAGCTCTTATGTGTACTTCTCTCTCCAGGAATTGGGACTCCTCTGGTGTTTGAATATAAGAGCTTTATTGTAGTTTATGGTAGAAACTACCTTCCAGAGTACTGCTTCAAAAGTCTGTTCCTTGAACTCTAGATTCTTAAAAGGTAGTATGTGAAAAATGGTCCTATAATCAAATCAATCTGGGAACTGGCAGTACTGTTTCATTCACTGTGGGGACCTCACAGAGTCCTGAGCGTGCAGAGCCCTAAGCAGACAGAAGAAGAGCCATGCTAACAACGTTCTTTAACTCACTGGACCTCTAGGAGCCTTTTCTCAAGGAACGTCTGTTAACACGTGAAGCCAGTGTTAGAGTAAAATGGTTTGGGAAATATGGTTTTAGAGAGAGCTTTTTACACCTTGTTCCCTGATCTTTTGGTGAGGATTAAACAAGAAATGAGAGAAAGTAGTTAGCTCAATGTTAGTAAGGAGTAAGGTGACAATTATAATTCTGCAGAAATGAAGTGAAGACCTTCAGTCTCACTCCAATGAAGTATGGGGCTTGTAAATATTGATGTCAAGTGAAAATTCAGGACAGTTCCAAAGCCACAAGGTTCGAGGACCACTGAGGAAATGTCTACTATTCGGCACACTGTGGGCAGTTCATCAATATGAACTGAGTAAATGAATGAATGCCCACAACTTCTAGTTGGGGAGAAAAATGTTATCAGTTAACTTTTAAACTAAAATACAAAACAAAAAGAAAAAATGAATTCCAGAAAAGCCTCTCATTTGGGGAAAATTCCAAAAGATGCTTAATGAAGGCTGTGCACTTACTACCAACAGACTGTAGTATTTTTAATTTTGTTCTTTATTGATTTTTTTTTTGAGAGAGAGGGAGAGATGGAAATATTGATGAGAGAGAACATCAATTAGCTGCCTCCTGCATGCCCCCCACTGGGGATTTGGCCCACAACCCGGGCATGTGCCCTGACTGGGAATCGAACTGATGACCTCTTGGCGCCTGGGCTGACGTTCAACCACTGAGCAACACTGTCTGGGCCAGATGTAGTATTAAAGATTGTACTTATCAGAATACTTTTCAAAGACTATATAAATTCCTATGACCTAGACAAGGCATTAGTTTTTCCAGAACTACCTGCTGTAGGCTAACTTCTGCACTCCAAAACCACTTTCTCCCATAGTAATTTTACAGGAATAGAAAAAGAAACATTCTTAATTTTCATGCCAAGTCAGAGACTCTAAGGGAAGCAAATAGCCTTAAAACTAAAAGAAATGTTTTCTTTTTGGATTAAATATTTCTGCTGGCCGTGGAGGTGACTTCCCTAGTCCACGAGCCCCCTGCAGGTCTCCTCCTCCCCCTCTGGTCCTCCCAGTCGGCATGCAGAGTCTCACCCTCTCATACTCATCCTTGGCTCGGCTGAGCATCTCCAGGATGTCGATGGGCCTGTGGTCACTGCAACCGTTGGCCTGGCTGGGACTCTGCTTATCCCGGGCAGCTAGCTGGCAGCGCCGTGTCTCCTCTTCTACCACCCTAGAAGATGAGAACCAGACTTTAGAAAGATCTGTTTAGACTCAATCTCTGGTGTTCATGTTCCAAGCATACAGGAAAAATGTCATAATAACCATGTTCTCACAATACAAAACACAGAGCCTTGGCTACCTCACCCTGGAACATATGACTGACCAATTCATCCTTTTATTTAGAGCACTGCCAACCAATAGATTTCACTGTAAGGGCAAATGCATGGAATTCCATTCTAGAGTTGTTAGAAATAAGTACATTAAAACTCTAGGGGGAGCATTTGAGATGTTGCTCCCTGGCATATATTATCTGGTTCAGATAAACTCTTATAAAAATTCTCTACAGCCCTGGCCAGTTTGGCTCAGCGGTTAGAGCATCGGCCTGTGGTCCGGAGAGACCCGGGTTTGGTTCCCGCTAAGGGCACGTACCTCGGTTGCAGTTTGTTTCAGGCCCTGGTTGGGTTGTGTGGGTGGCAGCCACTTCGATGTGTCCCTTTCACGTCGATGTTTCTTTCTCTCTCCCTCCCACTCTATCTGAACAAAATATCAGAAAATGTCCTCGGGTGAGGATAAAAATAAATAAAAAAATTCTCTGCAGGCCTGGACATTTCTTATATCAACTTAGATTAACAGGAAGAAATAAAATTTAATATATATGCATGGGGAATTCACATAAGTATGAAATATTCCAAAGACAGTAGGCAAAATGGAATACACACACACACACACACACACACACAAAATATATCATTCTGGACTAAGAAAAAGGAGGTAAGGGTCTGGGACTTCAAAGGGAAGGCACTTCACAGGAAGATGAAAGAATTAATGTATAGTAAACAAATATTTGCTGGGCTCTCTAGAGACAGTAAGTTACAAAGAGGACTTTGAGCAAATGGGCCTTGCTAGGTTTTTTGCCTGTTTGCCTCAACTAGTTCATTTTATACTGTGGAACTCTATAGTGATAGTTCTTTCCAGAACAGGCCTTCTATCTTAAATTCTTTTAGACAATTTGTGGGAAGGTCAAAGGTTCTTCCTGAGTCTTTTGTTTCTTAAAAATAAAACAATTCTCAGTGGCAAATTTTGCTTCCCTGTATACACAAACAAAATGTTAAAAACATAGGAATTATGAAGGTGTGTGGAAGAAACTTCCCTATACCCTCAAGGTTCTTTGGCTCTAATAATGAAATAGACATGAGACAGATTAACAACAGAAAATAACCAAATTTAATTACATACGTATGTATGAGAATCCAGCATACACGAGCAAGTCAGAGACCTGACATACATGAGAGGTCAAGAATAGAAAGTTAAAATTAGGTATATAAAGCATTCAGAGCTAAGGATGAGGTAAGGTGGCTTGGGGCTTCCAAGGGTCATTGCAGAACAATAAGAAAAGCAAGTGTTTAGTAGTTAGAAGCTTACCTTGCCATAAATAGATATATCTACATAGATATATATTTATATCTATGTAGATATATCTATCTATATCTATATTCATATCTATCTATCTAAACTCCACTAAATTATCTCTCTTTTTTTAAGTATCTCAAAATCAGTCAAACTAAATGGTAAAGTAATTTTGAAAACAGACAATGCCACAAAGACAAGGGAAGTCTGCATAGCTGAACAACTCGCCGTGGGAAGTTTGCAATGACATTGGGCTAGCAAGGAGAAAAATTAGTTTCCTGGAAATAAAGGTCTTGGTGAAACTTCAAAAGTAAATGATAGCACTACAAGCAAACAAAAGGCATCCCTATTCTCTCCTTAAAAATCACTGAGTGGGTAACTGAGATCAGGGTGATTTCCACAATGCTCTTTATTTTGATAGGTGCTGCTTAAGCTAATTCTGTACTTAAAAATACATAAAGCAAAAAATGTTGAGAGTTAAGAATGTCACTTATAAGGCTGTGGTGTTTCTATCTGTGGGGTTTCATTTCTTAAGACTATCCTCTCTCCCCTACACATAAAGGTCTGAAGCAATTATAACAACATGTCAGGAACTGAAAGCTAGGTGGTGAGCACATGAATTTTTTTATTGTCCTTATGTTTTTCTTCAAGCTTGGAAAAATAAATTTTAATAAGGTAATTAAAAAAAAAAGATGTATTTAGGTTTCAGTCCCTACCTTTAAAACAGTCCATCCAGGAACTTCCAGTGTGAGATGTTTTTTTTTTTTTTTGGGGGGGGGGGAGGAACATTGGGTTAAACAATTTTAAACAGAGATTCCAAAATGGCGGCGGAGTGAATGGAAGCTACACAGACCATCTCCCAGGACCAAACTGGAATTACAACTAAAATAAAGACAAATCATTGGGAAAAAGCAACAGAAAAGCAGCTTGTGAGGACCATATAACCAGCGACATGGAATTGGTCCTGGTAGGATTGTGGAGGTGCAAGAGGGGGGCTGGGAGCCCACGGACAGCAGCAGTATTAGCTGTGAGCAGCATCCTCGGGGTTAAAATCTGAAGCTGGCTCCACAGCGCAGAGGGCTAGGACAGAGCGCTAAATTAGCCATAGCACTCAACTTGGACTCTGGCAGAGGGAGGGTGGACTGGACTGGAACTATGTGGGGACACTCGGGATTTGGAGGGCACTCAGAGCTTTTGCTGAGTTGTGGCCACGCAACACAGTGGCCATCTTAATACTTCCCAGGGCTCTGGGGAGAGGTGGCGGCTCCTCCCTTGGAGATTCAACCCCACCAAGGTGGGCCAAAGAAATGCAAATTGAGGCTCATCAACAACCAGCATCTGCCCCACCCTCGGGAAATTCTTTTACACTGAACACCTGATGGAGTTTTTCATTCAAATGAGAATCCAAGGCTGTTCAAGTAACCAGACTAACAGCCTCCAGGCAAAAAGTTAGAGAATAACTGAACCTTTCCTGAACTTGCAACTCTACTCAGGAAAGTAAGACTTGACAGTGGTGTTTAACAAAGGTCCTCCCATGCTCATCCAAACCCAGTAGAAGGAGCCACAAACAGCAGAACAGCAACACCCACAGAGAAAATTTGGCAGGCTCCAAAACCCACTGAAATAGCCAAAATGGTGAAACAAACAAACAAAAATTCTAAATGAAAGAACAAGAGACCTCTACCAAAGATGAGATAAATAAAATGCAGTTAAACAAGTTATCAGAGGTAGAGTTCAGAGCCATGATCTTGAGGAAACTCAACAGCATGAGTAAGGACCTCAACATCATGAGTGAAGATATAGAAGCATTGAAAACCAACCAAGTGGAAATAAAGAATGACATAGAAATAAAGAACACATTGTAAGGACTAAACAGCAGAGTAGAGGAAGCTGAGGACCAGATCAGTGAATTCAATGACAGGGTAGACAAAATCAACCAATCAGAAAACCAAAAGGAAAAAAACAATTACAAACAGGAAGACAGCTTAAGAGAACCGTGAGACAATTGGAAATGTAATAATATTCGCATGACAGGAGTCCCCCCGCGAAAAAAATATGAGCAAGGGTTAGAGAATATATTTGAAGAAATAGTGACAGAAAACTTCCCTAATTTGGTGAAGGAAGAAGGCATTCTAGAAGCACAGAAAGCCCCAAGGAAGAAGAACCCAAACAGGCCCACACCATGACACATAGTAATTAAAATGCCAAAAATTAAAGACAAAGAGAGAGTCCTAAAGGCAGCAAGAGATAAGCAATAGGTTACCTACAAAGGAAACCCCATAAGGCTATCAGCTGACTTCTCAACAGAAACACTTCAGGCCAGAAGAAAATGGCATGAAATAATCAAGGTCATGAAAAACAAGGATCTGAATCCAAGACTACTCTACCCAGCAAGGCTATCATTCAAAATAGAAGGTCAAATAAAGAGCTTCCCAGACAAAAAAAAAAGCTAAGGGACTACATTAGCACCAAACCAGCACTGCAAGAAATGTTAAAAGGACTGCTGTAATTAGTAGAAGAAATAGGAAGAAAAATATAACCACACTAAACAAAAACCGGCAATAAATAAGTACATATCAATAATTACCTTAAATGTAAATGGATTGAATGCTCTGATAAAAAGACACAGACTAGCTGATTGGATAAGAAAGCATGACTCATATATATGTTGTTTACAAGAGACCCGCCTCACAACAAAAGACTCACATAAGTTGAAAGTGAAAGGATGCAAAAAAATTTTCCAAGCAAATGGAAAGGGAAAAAAAGCTGGGGTAGCAATACTCATATCTGATAAAATAGATTTCAAAACGAAGGCCATAACTAGAGACAAAGAAGGTCACTACATAATATTGAAAGGATCTATCCAACAGGAAGATATAACCTTGCCAAACATATCTGCACCCAATATAGGAGCACCAAAGTATATTAAAAATCTTCTGGAGGACTTCCAAGGAGAAATCGACAGCAATACAATCATAGCAGGGGACTTCAACACCCCGCTGATGTCACTGGACAGATCATCTAGACAAAAAATTAACAAGGAAATACAGACTCTAAATGAAGCGCTAGAACAAATGGATTTAATAGATATCTACAGAGAATTACACCCCAAAACTACAGAATTCACATTCTTCTCAAGTGCACATGGGACATTCTCAAAGATAGACCACATGTTAGAACACAAACTAAGTCTGTACAGGTTCAAGGAAATTGAAATCATATCAAGCATCTTCTCAGACCACAATGGCATGAAACTGGAAATCAATTGCAACAAGAACATGCAAAGACATTTGAACACATGGAGGCTAAATAGCATGTTATTGAACAATGAATGGGTTACCATGGAGATCAAGGAAGAAATGAAAAACTTTCTGGAAACCAATGAAAATGAACACACAACAACACAAAATCTATGGGATGCAGCGAAAGCAGTTCTGAGAGGGAAGTTCATAGCATTACAGGACTACCTCAAGAAACAAGAAAAATCTCTAATAGACCATGTAACCTCACAACTTAAAGAACTAGAAGGCAAACAAAAAGAAAACCCCAGAGCAAGTAGAAGGAAGGAAATAGTAAAGATCAGAGCAGAAATAAATGACATAG